CACTGTATGCCACATCCGACTATTTACACGGTACTCACCTCACCTTTTTTCTACCCTTGTGTCTGTCTCTTTTACATCTTTGAATCTCTCTTCTGCTCCCCCTCTCGAATTTTTCTCACTTTGATGTTCCTTTCCCTCTGTGAAGCCCAAAGTCAACTAAAGTGCTATTGATAACTATTGAAACGCTTGTCATTTGATATAAAATGTATAGCTAAATGTAACAGAATTTTCTTGCCCAGTGAATAACCTAAAAGGGAAACGGTATGATATTTTAAGGATGAATTTTCAAAAAAAACAAGCTCTATCAGTTGAAGAATTTGGTTTACCAGACTTTAACTTATTTGTCTACTCACATATCATTGAAATTAAAAAATAACCATAGTTTTAACTACTCAGCCAATAAGAATGGATTGACAATACTATTTACTAAAAATTAACCTCAGTAAATTTGATAAATCATGAAAAAATTCACTTTAAGTTTGATTAAAGCCATCTTTTACCTCACCTCATATAATTGTCAATATAATCGAGGAAGTGTCTTGGGGTGACAAAATTTGTCCTCTTCCACTTTTCCATGAATTCTCGAGTGTATTTATCAACCGATCGGTGAACGTGCACAATATGATCAATAAGAGCATCATAGTGCTGAGAAGGAATTAGAGGATTTTCAGGAGAGAGGGTAGCACTTGCAGCCACTTGTAGTGCCTCTTCAGGCCAAGCGAAGTACCAATCCATTGTTGTGTTGGTTAAGAGACCTGGAAAGTTGGCACAGCGTCTCCGTAAGGTGCTGCTCTCCTACAATTGAGATAGACAACAAGACCTCAACATGCATAGCATGATACATAACCCATTCTTAGAAGGCGAATATAAGTTCGGTACTAGCTTGTCATTATTCTGTCAATTAACTAAGAGTGAAGCTAGGTAAAGTGCAAGTAAGGAACTCACAGGACTCATGACCATTATGATGTGGAGATTTTTCGCCGCTTTTCTTGATAGATTATCCCAGATGACTTCTCTTGTTCCATCAAGTCCATTCTTTAGTAGGTCTTTTTGTAAATCATTAGCAATTGTTTCACGCTCCTCCTCAGAAAAGAACGAACTTACATTCGTCCCAACCAGCATACGATTTACAATCTCTAAGAAGGCTAAACGACCAATTAGGATTGAATATTAAAAAACTCAACCTTCGTCTATTATATCATCTTCAGAAATTAAGAACACTATCCTTTTGTCTTCCTTCACAAGTCGAAGATATAAATTCTTAACTTCCTCACGGAATTCCTTTTCTGTATAATTTCGACTCAGTGTGATTTGAAATACGTCACATCCAGCAGCTAATGCGGCCAATTTAATAAGAACTGTTCTCCCAGATCCACTGACTCCAACACACAAGCCATGTCCTCCGCTCGTGCTCATTATCCTGTGTAGTCGACTTAAATGCTCAATACCATCATTGAATAAGATAAGCTTCGAGTGTTCCGAATGTTGTTCTTTGATCTATATATATAGATAAAGTTAACAAACCATTTGTGGATAGCGGAGTGTGAAAGCTTTAAGTATTGCCGACTAGCCTTATTGAAGATATTTTTTACTGCATTGTAATCACCCTTATCCTCATAATGTGCAAGCTCCCCTACTTCCAATTCAGTTGTGTATTCACCGAAAAGTACCGGATCTTTCAGTGTTTCATCTTTGGTGAGAGGATCGAGATTGGAAGTTTCTGAATTAATTCTGCTCTTCACCAAGTTAACATCCTCATCGGTTGTCAAGCGGTCTACGAATATTCGGAGCATCTCGTGTCTCCACAAACGAATTACGTGGGTGAGTGTTGAGAAGTTTCCCGGAGACATTCGACAGAGACCTTCGTAAACGCGACGAAGATCGCGGAAATTGAAGGTATAGTGAAATTTTGCAGGAGTGGCATGAAGTTTTTGAAGCAAGAACCTAAGAGAAGAGAAAAACTCACTGAATCAGTGGAATATTTAAAAGAGCATTCATATTGAGACGGCCACCCATACCAGTAAACACTGAGTGTAGCTTGTATGATACTCGGAATTGCCTCTACAATAGCATTTTGGAATCCTGTTTGAAAGTGGTCACTGAGAATTGATGAGGAAATCGAAAACAATGTTGATTCACTCAGGGGAGTAGCGTGAAAAACAGTGAACTTAGAGAGAAGGCGTGGATCAATACGCTTAATTAGTGCCATGGCGGCAATGCAAGAAGTATCGCAAATTCGACGCCATTTTAGTTCACTATTGGAACGATCGTAGAAACCTCGATTAGTCAGCAGGAGTTTGAGAAGTGCTAAGGGCTGCTGGGTTCCATAAGGATCAGTCTCCGGCATATGTAGATCGTCGATAAATAGGAGAAGGCGCTTTTCTGCAAATGGTCCGTAGAGGCCTTTGTTTCTCTTCTCAAGATTAGCATCGAGGCAGTTAAATAAGTCATCCGCGGTAGTGCGATAAGAGAAATTGACCCGCATTATTAGCTATAAAGAAGTTAAATCAATTTCACTTTTTCTCCGCAATTAATTAATAGAAGATCATGATTAATAAAGATATGCAGCAGACAAAGTGGACAGCTGAAATCAACGTTCAGAGGCGCTCATTAAGTGATGCGGATGGTTGATGACACTGGTTACTCCTGGTTGAAAAGATTGCGATTTTCTGAGGGAAAAGCTTCTGGATATATCCCCCTCCCTTCTATTAAAACTAATATGTAGGAAGTTTTGAAAATACTTCAATTTCCATATCACTCTCCATCCCATTTATTAATTTGTTCTGAGGCATTCTCAATGAACAGATGAGATGGTCAAGCGTTGACCACATCTACATATCTTTTTGAAACGTTTTCTCTCTGCCACTCTAACAAAGTCACTTAGAGGATGAATATTCTATGTGCAAGGTACCTGTTATTTTGCCATTTAATCGCACTGTGGCTCGAAAAATTTTTACTTTTAATGTAATCAAAAACAGATTAGAAATGTGTAGCTATTTTCGTTAAATTTGAGCACATCGAAGTGTGTGTGCAGTGTTTGTAACGCCATCTCCTGCGAATTTTGTCAATTTTTGCAATTTTACTCATTATTATACCATGGTCTAGACAATCTGCGGATATGAAGTTCGGCAACTCTGCCTCTGATCCATCAACTTTTTTTGAGAGCTGTTGATGGACTATAGGGTTTGGGGCCAGTTTTAACCCTACAACGCCGGAATTATTTTTTCGAAAAATTCGCCCAATCACATTCACGCGTGCTTCACAGAAGACTGATGCCGTTGACGTGATGAGTTTTGAAAGCATAAGGCGAAGGCTATAAACGTATTGAACATGTTTCAAACTGTAATAGCGCCTTCTGATAAGAGCCTAGAACCAATGGAGCTTATATTGAAAGATGTCCGTATGGCCCTAAGGGCGCTAAAGGGTTAGGAATGCCAACGCTATGATAGGTCTATAAACACTGATTGCCCTTCATATTTTTTTTCAACGAAGGTCAATGTGACTAGACTTCACATTCGGGATCACTGCCATCGGTATTAAACAGATTTCGTCTTCCACCTTAATAGTAACAAGTAGCACTTACAGTGAGCTTATTATTACTTTAAAGAACTAGAAAAGCGAAGAAAATAGACTTATTTCAGCCAGCCCAACAACCTAACTCGGTCATAAAGTTACATTTCCAGAAAATATATGCCAATGGTGAGACGAGAGCAGAATTTTGTATGAATTGGACTCACATGAGTGGATATATCTTGTTCCATCAAAAATTGATTGACCGATGTTGTTTTAGCAGTGGTTGTTTTACCAACCAACAATACTGGTCTATCGACCTGTACATTCTTTTCCAGAACCCATTTCATTATGATCGTTTCTCTTGTTGGAACAAAAATTTCTGAGAAGCCGATTTCCGGCTTATGTTGGTAAGAGGGCACAATCCTGCTCCACGGAAGCCAAACTCTCTTTTCAAGATCAAAATAAAAGTCTTCAAGTCGAGGATGAGTGTTTGGAATGAAACCTTCTTTTATACCCTCTTCACCTTCTTCAACAATTGTCGGTAGAGCAGATAGTTCTTTGACCTTGTCATCAAATGCCATTCGATCTGAGTCATTTAGAAGGCATGACCCAATCGAAAATGTCAATGCCTGAAGAAGAATAGCTTCCAGACAATCGACAGACGCTTCTTTCACACCAAGCAATAAGCTTCTAAGGAGACAACACAGCTGATTAATTAGACCAACTGGAGTTAATGGGAGAACAAAGTTGAGATTTAAAGCCATTAATCGAGGTAGATATTTTTCAAAAAGGTTATCAAGGATTTGAAGGTAGTAGTCATCCAAATCTTTGTTATTCAACTTCCACATCTGCCAGATTACCGAGTATTCAAGATCTTGTGAGTTTATGTAGACCATTCCGCATCGGGAAACAGTCGCCGGTGACGCATATTCCAAGTCGCCAACTTCGAAAATTAAATGACAGTAGGGTTGGAGACGTATACGTTCACCATTTGGAAGAGTTAAAAGGCGATTATCATCCATTACTGAATTCATATTCTCAACCCAGAGCGAGTCAACATCTCCGTCAAAGAGAATGATAGTGTTTTCCTAAAAAAATATTTGTTAAATTTGAAACTCCTATCCTATTTCATCATATAGTTGAAATTATTATGCACAAGTATAAAACTAACCAATTTTAGCAAACAGTGGTCAAATTTTCTGTAATACCTTTATCATGAAAAAATTATCTAATTTATTAATATTCTCATATGTCTTTATTGACTCTTTTACCGTCATAAATTTACCAATTAATTAATGAAATTGTACCTTTTTCCCCGATGTCTTATTAGAATCTCTGAATAATCGAGTCAGTAGACCATCCGTCCAATTACGAGTATTTGGATCCAGTACACCGTACAGTTCAGTCACACATCTGTCCTTGGGATTGAGAGTGAGTAGATTGGTTGGAGTGCCTAGTTTCGATTGCGCCCCACAGTAGGCTAAGATGACTACACTCTTGCCTCCACATGTGGGGCCAACTACCATTGTTGAATGCCGTGTCAGCATTGTCTCATTAAGTTGTAGTACTTTCTCAACTTGCTTTTCAACTACAATATACTTTTCACTCGAAAGCCAATCCTTTACAGCATCTGAGAACTCCTTACTCTCTGATTTCAGACTCGGTAATCCTGGAAAGAGGTCACTAATCAGATCTAGGAATAATCTCACATCTTCGTGGATTAGTTTGGGTAAGTTTACGTCTCGAAGAGCTCGGATTACCATAGAGATTTCATCTAATTCTAGTTGGTGTCTTCTTAACTCTCCAGCCATTTGAAGAACGGCTTTTAAAGCACGCATACTGAAGTCATAATGATGTTGTTTTGACAGTTGTCGTTCTGCAAGATAGTAGAATGTATGAATTTTTTCAGCCAACATTCGAGCTTTTGAGAATCCCTGAGCGAACAGCAAGACTTCACAGATCAACTTCCTGTCTGGTACTGCTACAACCACCTGTCTGAATTGGACTTTAACAGATTCTGGTAATTCAGTACGACCTGCATATCCCGGATTCATGGTGATGAACACACCCACCCGAGGATTGAAGTTAATCTCCTCCCCTTCAAAAACAAACCTCCGAGCTGATTGAGAATGGGCATTGTGAATAAGACGCAGTTGAGTCGAGATAACAGAGAGAACACTTATTTCAATTCGGTTGAATTCATCAAAACAGCCCCAGGCACCTGCTTGACAAATTCCAGAGAATATTCGACCGAGCGATTTGTAATCCATTTCACCTCCGCAATTTGTAACAAGACAAAACGTGGCGAGTGCCTTTGCAAGATCCTTAACCGTCTCGGTCTTGCCTGTTCCTGCTGGTCCAGCTGCACAAGCTCCAAGATGTATAGAGAGGGCTTGAGTCAAGGTTAAGTAGATTCGGTCAGTAAGTGGGGTGATTACTAAGCGGCTATTGAGTCCCAAATACTCATATCCATAATCGAAGGAACCATTGCACTGTCGTAAGTGCAAGTGGTCACAGCTTCGAGACCAGTAAAACCGTAGCTGCGATTGCCATTCAAATGAATTCGCCTGCAATGCAAATCGTGACAAAAGGAATAACAACCCTGGAATTCAGCGTTACCTGCCAGAAATATATATAATAATTATTTACCTCAATAACACTGTTCCGAACAAATCCATCAACCACATCCCTTGCGTGTACATCAATTGTAAGGAGGGTGACAAGTTTAGCGCGGTCATTAGTGGATAATTCACCGCGAATTCGTTGAACTATCTCCCCCAACTGATTGAGTTGTTGCATGGACAATTTCTTCATTGCCGATTTGTCTTGTTTAAGACTCGGAGAGACGGGAGTGATACGCCGAAAAGCGTCCTCAACTTCCCATGTCCACCAAACTTGACTTGCTGCAAGTGCTACCATACCCTGGTAACGCATTACCCAGTCAACTCTGAAATAAGGAAGATGATGATGATGGTGGTATTAAATATTCTACTGAATTTGGGTATAAGAGGATGGAAAAGGTTTTACCGCTCCATTGATTCTCGATATCTATAGATTCCTTCTTTCGTTATGGATCGAATGGTCTCCCTCATGGTAATTTCCACCTTGGCCATCCAATCTTCAATCCCTCCAGTGCATTGCACGACTTCTTTGAATTTCACTTTCTCCCCTTCATTAGATATCATTCCAACAGCTACCGGTATGTCCTGTTCATTTTTGGCAAATTCTAAGCTCTTGATATTATCGAACATCTAAAAGAAGTTAAATGTATAATTCTTAATGGGCAAATATCAAATAATATAAATGACCAAATTGCAGTAAACTATTGTGGTCCAGGCAGTCTCCCTATCCCCAACTATTGGAAAATCTCAGTTCTCCTCCCCCACTTCTCCTCACCTAAACATTCCGGTCCTGCCGATTGTATTTTTTGGTTTGCTTATTGGCTGTATACTGAGCCATCACTCCCTATGAGGACAACATCTCAATCGTTATTCACAAGGTATCATTTAGCTCTATCTTCTTCCTTATTTGGGCTATGAGACAATTTCAAATATAAAGGGACCTTATATGCGTTTAGGATATATGCCAATAGTAACTGGTTCTAATTCGAGAAAAATTTACCTTGATCAGATGTTCTTGAACACGTTCGTATTCACTAGAACCCAAGATTGAAAGCAATTCATAGTCAGCAATGAAGAAAAATCTTGGAAACGCGTTACGTTTAGTCTTTAGATAAACAATGAGAGATTTTTCACAGGTTTCGAAGCCTGTACTGATAGACATCAGCTCACTTGACCGTCCTGACTTCAGACACCAAGTTAGGACGGATGGACTTTTTAAGGCCTCTTCAACGGTCTAAGTGATAATAGAATAAGATGTTAAATCTCCAATAGAACTGAATATTATTATAAGTCTAAACGTACCTTTTTGAAGACCAGATTTAATTTATTAAATCTATCCGCTTCTTTACCCATCTGAGAATGAATTTCTCCACTTGCAAAAATGCCTTCTAAATTGAGCCATTTCCTCTGAACTGCAATCCAGTTATCTAGTACTTCACTAGCAATTGCAATCTCTTTTTCAAGCTGACGAATCTTCTCTATAAAGGGAATCGCAAACCTCGAACTTCCCATGGACTGCAAACCGATGGAGTTGTCGTCCAGTGTCTGAACAATTTCATCCAATCCTGCAAATATAAGTCCCTGTTTCTTTCCTTTGGGAGCATACTCCTGAATTTCAAATCGAAGGTTTTTCAATTTCTCATTTACTTCTACTAACTCCTGAAGTTTTAAAATGACATTGTAGTCGTAAGAGACAAAAATCATTTTCTCCATAAAAAACTCATACCTTTTCTACTGAGAATTCACTTAAAGCGACGCTGAGAACCTCAACTACCTCCTGTTTGAATTGATCAATATGCATATCAAATATATTTCCGAGAGTGAATTCCCCTGAATTGAAAGCAAAATTGTTCTTGGTTCTCTCAATTAACATTGTCCAATGTCTGAAATTAACAATCAAGGCAATAATTGCAAACTACAGAGGCGTATTATCGTATTGCGGAGTGTACGATAGATTAACCCCCATGTGGTGCACCCTGGGCAACGTATACTCATAGGACAAACAAGTCTATAAACCGGCAGTTAACTTCAAACTACTATGACCGGACTCTATGCCATATTCAACCATTTTCCCAGTACTCACCTTACCTTTTTCTCTACCTTTGTGTATGCCTGTCTCTTTTACATCTGTTAATTATTATTCTATTCCCCCTCTCGACTTTCTGTGATTTTGATGTTCCTTCCCTCTGTGGATCCCGAAGTTAACTAAATGACTAATGATAACTATCAAAACGTCTGTTATTTGATATAAATAAACAAATAAACTTCATATTGCTCATTATTTAATTCAAATAGGACAGTATGACATCATCTCGAATCACCTTTATATATTTGGGAGTGTTTAGGGGTATTGAGTTAAAGCCCCATGAATGCTACTTCTCATTGAGATTTTCATTTAAGTACCTAATTCATTACTTTTTTGTTTAACCTAATGCAGACGTATGGGAACATCTGAACTTTACCGCACAGTGATTATAAGCTAAGTTTACGGAGTACTAAGCATTGGTGAGTTTTGTGGAAATCAATATAAATTACTATGTAAGGTAAGTAGTATACACTATCATACCTCGGTCGTAATGCTTCGTTCTTCAGGTCGCTCAGGAGAGCCACTGAGTCGGCAAAAGCCGAGAGGTGGATTTCAAGTACTTTGGCAACTTCCATTTGGGGTATCTGTTTGGACACCTTTTGTAACATCTGTTGAAGAAGTTCGACCTCATTTTGCAGAACTGTGAAGTGAGCATCACGCCAGGGCACTTTCGACCATTCTTCAATCAAAGCCTAGGCAACAAAATATAAAATTTTTTTAAATGTTTGTTTCATGAAGTAACTAATCAAGGCTAGCCAAATCATAATAAGTGTACTGAAAATGACCTTTCCTTTGCACAATTCACTTATTGAACTTCAATTCTAATAAACAGAAATAACTTTGTTGTTGTTGTTTCATAAAGTTTGAATTTTGCCTTAATAAGACATGCGATATTGAGTGTTCATATACTCTTTTTAACTTTCCTACTAAATAAAGGTATTGGCTGATTTTGTCCTCCTCAAAGGAAAGTATCGAAATTTCAAAATATTCTCCTTAATTTGACTCATGTACTTTAACTAGAAGCGGATACTTCGTGGGATTCTACTGGGTCCACGTTGTGACTTCCTTATTTGACCTGTCTGGAGATGTTGTTAATCACAATGATCTGGGGGGAAGCTCTTATCTTTCTTGAGGATATTTATGATCATGTTGCCCATACAAAAAAACACATGCGGCTTCAAATACTCTAAACCTAATTGTCCTATGCCGAATCCCTTGAAAGGGAATGAAGTAAAATATGAGAGAAAGTTATTTGAAGGTAGCAAACTTAACCAATGTTAACAACTGGTAATCTATTCTCACCTCATCATGTGGACCTAAAGGTTTTAAATAAGATCTGATAGGTTGCTTAAAGAAAAGCACACTTTGCGGTATATATAAAAGAAAGGGAGTCAATGTTAAACAAACAACACAACTTTTCAAGTAGATTTACTTTTTGATCAGCATAGATCTTATAGATCTTCTGGAGAGATTCCATTTGCTTTTTGGCTTTGATAAGACCCTTGGAGTAGCTTGGCGGTAAATCAAATAGCCTCTCTGAAACGAGAAGCTCCTGATGTTTAGTAGTTAGGCCTTGTATTTCCTCACTGCACTCCTGAAGGATTAAAGAAAGTATATCAATATGAAAATAATGTTTTTGAAACTGGTTTATTCGCCAAATTAGAATTAGTTGACCTTCATTAGCACCAATCCGTAGTCAAGATTTTCTCCAACATTCATTGGTCCTTCGGTTTCAAATTTCTGTATAAATTTGTTCACTATTTTATCGAATTGGTTAGCCTCGCATTTAGTGGCGTACTTGAATCGCTTTCGTTGTCTACTAAGACAGTCTTCTTTTTCCCTTGCCTGTTTTAGGAGATTTTCCCAAGATTCTTGAATGCCTTTGAAATCTGCTTCTTCATTGGGTGTGATTTCCAATCCATTCTGCCGTAGACGATTTCGACATTCCACAATACCCGCAAGCTGTTCATCATTGAGAAGACCAGCATCTTTAATATTTCGAAGTGTTATTAGAAGATCCTGAAGATGGTTTCTATTCGTTGGTTGGATTTGCAATTGTGATTGAAAATTCTATTGGAAATGAATATTGCACATTGAAGTCCACACAAAGGAAATCACCGCATTTCGGCTTAACACTAACTTACACGTATGGTATCTTTGAGTTGTCGGCTGAGCAAATAGATGCGATCCTTGAAGAGGCTTCCGTAGGCATATATCCACTTTTGTCTGTGCATTTGGAGTCCATCTATCAGCAACTTTGTGCGTAATGTGAAGAAATCGATTTGAGAGTCAGCTATGCTTGCATTAAGATCATCCAATGCTGTGTTGATGTCATATATTCGTTGACTGATTTGCGCCACCGTGGGATCAGATGTTCGCCACTTCTCCACACTATATTTCTGCAAAATAGCTTCAATTCAGTCATTATAGCATTCAAAAACTCGGTCTCATAGTACCTAATTAATTTTTTCCAAAGCATGGTCTACCATTTTACAAACACTCTCTACTTATCTCTAACGCTGTCATTTTCTATTAATAGAAGTTAGTGTAGCTTACTGCCATACCAATCTATAACTACTCTCGAACTTCTAAGATGTTTCATTCTGTTTCATCCTAAGCTGAGCAACCATTTCAGCGATTCTGAACAGCACATCCACGAACCTTATGTGGAGCAAGAAGATGCTTATAATGACGATATTTCTCCTGTTGACGTTTGAGCTTTTCTCCAGCTTGCAATATGGTGAGATCAATGAGATAGAAGACATCTTTTACTGCAGTTGATTTAACAATGTCATCGTAGAAGGTGAAGTAAACAAGGCCTTCCTGATTTGGCACTTTGATGCCTTGGCTAGCGAGGCAGGTCCTCGGTTGCCAACGAATGAAAGCTTGAGTACTCTTGATTGCATCTCGCACGTCCTATTGAAAATTCCAGTATTATCTTGCGCAGTTATTTTATTATATATATAACCAAAAAAGCATTTAATTAACGCAATTATGCCGATTGTTAAACATCATATATTGCATCAAAAAGAATTTCTGCTCACGATTCAAAGTTATAAATTAATTGAATATAGATAGAATTTATATTATTTGCTCATTTATTTATTACTTAAGTTGGCGATTGGCTAATTGACTCCGCAATACTTTTATTAACCAAACCACTACCTCCTTTAAATCAAAGACCCTCAACCACTTGACACATTTTTAGTTGTTCACCTTCCTTTGCTGACAGACAACCAATCACCAATAATTTCATTCAGCAAAACCGCTAGGAAACTCAATCGAACCTTTCCATCGCACTTGGATTAAGTCCGTAATGTTCAGCCCCGTGCACTGGTTTATCGATCTTTGTGTTTATACACTCTCGGTTGGGTATACAAGATCACCACTGTGACAATCGCTACTGCAATGATTGGTTGAAGAAGTCAATCATCCATCAATTAATCGTGCCTATATAGGCACATTATTAGAAGGGCCAGCTGAACTTCTCGCTCTCCTTCCTCAACTGATCTGGATACTCTTAACTTTAAGAAGGATTAACCGAGTGCTATCAAAGGAGCTTATTAACAAAAGTTTGAGTTGTATACCGGAAGATGTCTAACGTTTAGCGACATATTTACTCTACGACAGAGAATATAATTTCATCATTTAGGTTAAAAATGGAGTTTCCGAAGGTGATGTGTTTAGAAGGCTGCAAAGAATATTTTTGCATCTGCATAACTACATGTCGGTTAGATGATACAGGCTGAGTCCTTTATAAATACAAATCGAATTAGTAATTGCTAAAAGCCATACTTCTAACTGCTTTATCATTCAAACTGAATTTTTATAAGTCTTAGTTTTCTCAAAAGGATTTTACTACAAGAGACTGCACTTAAATTACAATCTTCCAAACTAATTGAGCGAAGTTCTTCGTGCCTGTAGAGAATGAATAACAATACGCACACTTCTTTTACATTCCCTCAGTCTACATGTAAATGTGTATACACCACATTCATTATACATTTAGAGCTTATTTGTAAGATTTCCAGTTTCTCAAAAACATCCCATTTACTGTGTTTATTTTAATTTGAGATGTATAGTTCTGAAGCGAGTAATGTGAAAGTAGTATTTTTTGAAAATGAAGTTGATATTTATTTTGTTCTTTTCCCATAAGGTTCTAGACGGAAAATGCATATACAGATAAGAAAGTAGTGTAACAATAAATATCACCTGAAAAGTGATCTTCTGCACTCCCATTGGACAATCAGAAGCCTCTCTAATTGAGCGTCTTATTTGCGGCCGTCACCTCATTGACAGGTATTTACCAGTGAGGTGGATCATTCTAAGTGCTCTTCATTACGGACTTTACAACAACGCCAAAGGTACATATATATATATATATATATATATATATATATGTATATACTATATGAGCAATAGTAAGCATATACATAATTCCATGGACAATAGTAGTGAAACATTGGTGCACATTCAGTCAGTATTATGACAAGCTATTCTGTTCCAAGCTTTTAAGCGAGGGAAGATTTAATGTAAGGTTCTCAGTACAAGTCTCTTCAAATATCTTTCCCCTTTCTAATCAATGTGTTCGAAAACAAGTTTAAGAAATATCATTGGAAAATATATTTATTATGAACAAATAAACGGGATATTAAAATTGAAGTGTAGTATATAAGAACAAATGAAACAAGACAAATGCTAGAATAAACTAATGAAATCGAAACGGGGAAAAAAGAAAAAAACAAACACAAATGTAACAGTAAAAAAATAAATAATCACTTTAAATTGATTAAATCTGAAATAGAAATAATTATTTGCTAAGTTGCAAATAATATATAAAATGAATTTATTTTTAAAATAATACCTGGATCATGAGTTGGTGGAAATCAGCTGGTTGTGGCGTGCTCACAACATCGGAACCAGCCAACATCAAATCGACTGCAAATAGAGATATTTTGGGATGCTGAAGAAATCGAAGAAATTTCTTGAGGTTATTGATCACCATCTAGTAAAAACCATATTAAGTTCATATTTAACACAGATATCATCAGTTCATTGCAGACTAAAGTCAGACCTGATGAACAACATCAAAGAATTGCCTCTCCCAAAACTCGTAGTAGTGAATCATTGTGGGATTCTTTCCAGTTGACGGCTTACCAGTTATATCCTTTTCTAGTTTAAATAGAATTCTGCTTGCTTCAGCATGCTTCATTGCCAGATTCTCAAAGTCTACCGTCCGGGCATCCAACATTTGTTGAAGATAGGTCTGCAACATGGGTTTTAGATTTTGAACCGAAGCTTGGCATAAAATATTCATAAGACTTAATACTTCTTACCTTGAACGAACGTAGTTCAGACGATTCATTTGTATCTGAGTTCCAGTGGAATAGAGAAACTTTGGCGATTTGCCTTAAGATCAATTCGATTTTCGCTCTCGCTTTCGCTACTGTTTTAAGGAGTTTGCAGAATTTGTGGAATGCTTCATCAGCTTTGACAAGAAAGCGATCAATGATAAGACTAGTCCAGTTCAGTTGCTCCCAAGCAGGTTCCAACGCGGCCCGCAGTTGTGATAAATGGTCAGCAAGAGTGATCACCTCAACATGGGATAAAGCTCCAGTTCTTGTTCTTACGGAGTTGGCTAGCTCCTCCAATGCCCTTTTTTGACGCAATAACACCTTTTCCTAAAAATATTCAGTTTTACTTGAGAATCATACTCATCTACTTAGTTGGGTAAATTAAATATTTAGCTTATGCAATAGGAAACAAAGATATTTCTTAATACGTCATTATTAATTAAGATTTTATTACTTCGAAAGAATTGAATAACCGTTCTATCATCTCTCCTTCAGATTAATATGAATTTTTCATGAACTTCACTAGTACTTTAAAGATCCAAGAATTTAATTTCAACATCAATTGCTTTGAAAACATCACTACCTTAAAATAAATTTATTTTCTGATTTCTAATAAAATAGATAAAAATTATAATGACTAAACGATATATATACGGTTAACTTAAAATAACATTTAAGATCACGAATACGATTAAAAAGGACTTTTACATAACATTTTTTAATAACTGATGGGGTAAACTTGTAAAGAAATCAATCTAAAGAAACCAAACAGATAAGCAATAATACCTTCAGTGCTACACAACATGCTGAATCTGGAACACCAAGTCCCAGAGTTTGCAAAAACTTTGTTTCGGCAATAATTTGAATCAATTCCTCGCCAAAATCAACTTCAAAGTAGAACTTGACTAAAAAAGATTGCAAAATTAATAAAAATTAGAACTTACATGCAGCCTTGGCCTGCCTTGACACTTCCCTCCCAAATACCGAGTGCCGTTTCATTAGCGTAGTAGCCAAACTTGTCCTTTGACTACTTTTCATTGATGAATTCGGTTTAGAAATGGCCACAGACTTCCACAATTTCCTCTCCATTAAGCCTCCCAAGTTCTCACGTACATGTTGACACCATCTACTGTATAAATCATTTTCAAATTGAATCATTCGTTTTATGAGACATAAGTATTGATCATGAACCTCTTTTCCTCTGTCACTATCCATTAACAGTTCAATGCGATGCATTTTTAGCATTGGCGCCGTTATACGAGCTTGGAGATGTCGAACCCAATAAATGGAGGAAGAAATTGGTGGAAAATATCGTGGGCCAAGGAGAGCTGCAAATCGACCGGCATCAGCCGACCCTTCTGTAAAAGTGGTCTCTATAAGACGCAGCTCTTTACCGTATCTTTCAAGAATATCACTGTAACGTTCCTCGAATAGTTTTGCAATATATTTTCGAGGATGGCTCTCTAAAAGTCTCTGAAGGACCTTAAAAGCGTTATCGGAGGAGTGTAGTGTTTGAAAGGAGTCTTCAAGGCATCCCTTAGCATCAAAATCTAGAGCATTCACCTCCAGATGAAACTGCTGCATTTGACTCTCCCATTTGTATTTATTCTCCAGAACAAATGGGTCAAAGGAAAGCTAAAGGGCATTAATTATAGATATATTTCTCATACGAATTTAAAATTCTCCGGAAGCTTCGAAATATTTGTTGTTAGTAGGTCAAAATGCTTCTGATCAGAGACCATACTCTTAATCTCCGGTCCGAACATGGTTTTATATTCCTTAATTATATGCACCACTTCTTTCATGTCATTACAGACTGTAATCATGTAATCGCTCTTCCCAAATAGGCGATTCTTGTCAAATTCCCAACGATATTCTCTTCCTGAAGCTTCAATATCTGCTCGACGAGTCATGTAAGTCGATTTCCAACTTTCCAATAATTTTTTACCATTATTTATTTGCGTAAGCATATCGTCAAATGGGATTCTAAGATTGCTACTAGAAAAAAGTCGATCAGTATTACTTAAATAGATTAGTAGGAGAGAGCATTCTTGAGACTCGGTCGCATAGACACCATGCAATGCGCTCAAAAATGACGCACATTCTATCATCCTTGCTATAATACGGTGATATAATCCATATCATTTGAAGAGCCTGCATTAGCGGATTAAGAGATTCAATTATATCATTTATGTCCGTGTGATAGGTCATTATTTTGAAGTAGCGTTTAACTAACTCAAGGAACCTAACATGATAGTGGGAGTTTAAAACAGGAGAGAAAAAGATCTTACTTAACATTATCAGTAGCTTCGATATAACATCGATGTAAAACTTCAAATACAGATTGGGGTGAGATTCGTTCTTTGAGAGAGTATAGTTCTAAAATTCTTTGAATTTGTGTTCGTGAGACTTCATCCACTAATCGACCTAGTGAAGTAGCCCTATCACGCCAGTATTCAATCTCTGCTAAAGGGCCTTCATCACGAGTAGATCTTGTTTTCAACTCATCAATAATTTCTCGCAGTTTAAAGCCCCATTGGATAACAGTTGTTTCAATTATATTAGTGATCTTTTCGTTTTGAAGAATAATTTGTGTATCTCCTTCAATATCAATAGACGGAATCTCAAATTCATTTCCAGAATGTAGCAGATCACTAGTTTCAGAGACGACTTGCAAGAATTTATGATATTTTAGAGTTAATTCATCGGTACGGTAAGCATCGGATAGTTTTAACTTATGAACAGTAGGTTTTGAGACGATTGTTGACAATTGGCTCAAGTAAACTTTTGAAAGGATTGACTGAAGTTGATATAACCATTTTCCAGTTGCGAACATTATTTCGAAATTTGTGGGCATTGTTGCAATAGCCTGTTCAAGGGAATTAGGGATGTAAATTGAGCCATTTTGAACACGCAATAAGCAAAGATATTGAACGTCCGATTCCATAAAACAGCAACTACCATACTTTGCAAACAAATGTATTTTGTTGATCACTTTCGGAACCATTTGCTATAAATTGTATAATGTATTGAGCCCTATTACCTTCCTAAAACGTATCACGTCATCTTCCGAACCAACAGACTGTAGATCAAGTTCGTCCTTATTAGTATTTCGTTCAGAGACTTTCGTCGACTTATTTTCGTCAACATATTCAAGTAACGTCGATGAAGTAATTGGGGTACCAATATAATCTATATCTTCACCCATATGTTTAAAAATTACGATAATTACTGTGAGGGTCAATTGGAACTTTAACTTCCTCAAAGATAGTTTCTTTGACCTTTTTTATAGTAAATAAAACAGATAACTCTGGTGGCTCAAGAGCGCCATCCAAAAATCTCTGCAATTGAACATAATTAATTTTTTCGTCTCTTTTTAAAAAATCTGCAAAGATTTCATCGGATTTTAAGTTAAAATAAATATAAACAATGTGCTTTATCCATAGAACTCGGTTATCGTCCATGGATACAGGTATTCAAAATTGTGCACTTGTGTTGCTAGGGCGTAAATATCACATCGTAAAGTAATAAAATAATAAAAAATGTATTTTAAATTCGAATTAATTTAATTTTATGTGAAATAACGTTTATTTTTGACAAAAAGATTTGTATCTTTGATAACGGCGCAGTTTCAAAATGGCTAAAATAGTTATAGCTGGTGATATTTTCGACATTTACGATCTGCTATATTAACGAGATAGTTAATTTATTTTCAGTATTAGTTAAGTGTTTCATTCAGTCAGACTATCCATCTCATAATTAACTTGCCCATTTACTTTTTTTAAAAGTAATTCATATGATGTAATTTTCGTTAGGATCTGCCGACTGCCCATTTTACGCTGCATGTGAACAGCTGGGGGATAGTTTGCATCAGAATTTGCCAGATTTTCATATTACTAAGCTCATTATCGCTCCAGAGGAATGGGATGTAGGTCAAATGTGCAATAACGACTCTATGTCGTTTAGAAATATAGTGGAAATCTGTGCAAAGAACATGGATGGCCGAAAATGTGCTCCCCTATTATTTGGCGCGAATTGGTAGACACTGGCGGTCGAGTGACTCTAATTGGCAACGCTAATGACTTTCAGGAATATACATATACTTATTATGCTAAGAGTTCTAAACTTTCTAGCAAGAAACTCCTTCAGATTGATTTTGAAAACCAATGTTTCATTAATAGAGTTAAGGCCGCAGAAGCCGTTAAACAGGTAACCTGATCCTCTGTTTAAATTAAACTAAGCGTTTGGTACCAATCTTTTAGAAACAGAGAAATTCCTTGAAAAAGCTAACTATAATTGGGGCTGAATCCCCTACTGCAGCTCGTTTGGCTTTGGATCTCGTTCAAATACAATATGATGACCCTAAAATTAAATTGAAGTTACATCTCGTCCCCAGCGAAATCAAATACCAACAGGCCGTAAATGACCTGAAGGACATTTTAGAGGATTGTGCTTTCATTGGCTCGCATACTATCAGACAGTTTTCTAATCTGCCAGAAGCTTTAGACGGTGCTTCTCTCATAGTAATTCTGGATGTGGTTCCACGGCAGATTTCTGCTCAAAGTGATAAGGTTTCGAAACAAACTGAAAATCGGGTCGATTGGTTGAAACGTAGATTTGAATATTTTACCAAACTTGGCGAGAATATCTACAAATATGCAGATGCAAATGTTCGAGTCCTAGTTGCAGGTTCAGCTCAGATTTTTGAAGGATCTGAAATAAAGGCGTCTCCGTTAAATTTTGATGTTCAGACTTTACATAAAGCCTGTAAATGTAGGATCAGCTCGCATAATATTGTTGGGATTCCAAGAGCACTTGAGTATTTTGTAAAAGGAGCTCTGGGCAGTTACTTCGGTGTCAATCGATGTGATGTGGTTGATTTAATCGTGTGGGGAAATATTGACAACGCCTTCTACGTAGATTTGTCGAAAACGCGAGTTTACAGGCGTCATGGTCCGTTGGACAGTGAAACAGGACCTGCATGGTTCAACGTAATAGCTGAATCTATTCTCTTCAAACCCCAGGAATTCTACGGTAAAATTTTGCCGGAAAAGTTTGAGAAAATGAAGTATTCTGCTGAGAATTCTGCTGCTATGGTTCATGCAACAGCAATTTTTAATTTTATTCGACAATGGGAATTCCGGGAATCAGATCAAAGAGAAACTCTTTCATCGTTAGTCGTATCATCTTCCGGTTAGTACAGTGTAGCTATTTGTACTTACCTAAAATAAGTAGGATGATATAAAATTGTATCCTTATTTTTGTATTATTGCTGTTAGTTATTACGACTTATTTATCGCAAGCATTACAGTCATTTGATATGTTTGCTTAACAAATCTAATAATAGGACGATTTTTACAGGGCAATATGGTATTCCATCTGGACTGGCCTTCTCTTTTCCTGTGACTATAAATTCTCATGGATGTTTTGAAATTCCTCAAGACGTTCCTATGGATCATGAAAAGTCCTATTGTATTGCAAGATGCGTTTTGGTAAGTTAAGTTAATTCACTAATTACATATTTTTGGCTGTTTTTAAGTGTTTATATTACTTCCATTAGCAGAAATTTAAAGAATTAACAAGACCATTATAAATTTGTTTAATGTTCAAGCATCTGATTTTCGTAAAGTCAAAATTGTTTAAAAAATTACAATTTGGCCAGCTAGTTAGTAATTTTAACTGACTTCACATGAGTTTAACCTGTCGAAATGAAAAAGGTAAAATTGGAATATTTTAAGTACCTAGTCTTTGTACAATAGTCCAAGATACAATTCAGAAGACCTTTTTCGAAACTGCGTTGAATGATACATTTAAGTGCCTTCCCTTCGATACCTATAACAGATAACTATGCCTGTTCAGAACGAATTTGCTAGTCATATAGAATTGGACACTTGACAAAACTAAATAAATTGGACCGCACCAAATAACGGCTTTTTATCTTAATTTAAGGATGCATTGAAGGACTGGTCGGTAATTGATCCTTCCATGCTGAATGAATACCAAAAATATCTCGACTCAATAGCCAATTTTGACCTGGAAGCCTATTTTTTTGGTGAGGATTCTTTCATCCCAAAGGACGAAGATATTCATTTCATTTCTCCTGAATCATTAAGGAAGAATCAAAAGCTTACTGCAGAATAACATTACGCTTATAAACGGCATTTTCCATTAAGTGGGCACAGGGGATCGTTAATAAATTCAAAATGGAAGTATTTGTCTAACGAAAATCAAGAATTTATAAAAAAATGAGATTGATTTGTTAGTTCAAATTATTCCTTCTAACAGTACCAAGTCAAAAAAACTAATGTCAACACATGGCCAAGTCCTGGAGCTTAGGGCATTGATCGATTCTAATTTTGCCAAAGTCATGAAAGAATGGTGTAATTTATGGTCCTTTGACAAAAAGATCAGTCACAGTAAGTACGGAAATAGGGGAAATCTTACAAATCCAAAATAGCGGTTAATTAATACTGAAAGAGATTTCTAATTATAAGCTATGCGCGAATGAGTTTTCGCTAAAATGCATACCTGTGTACTTGTAACTTGTGGGAACAAGTAACTATATAAATTGACCTTGATTTCCTTCACATAAACCTCAGTACACTTCTAACGAAAATGAAAATATTGTCCAATGAAATTAGATCAGTCATGAAGTTAATGGAGCGTTAAATGTAAACAGACGCAATAACAAGTATCATCGACTTTACTAACAAAGATGCCAAATTTATTTTGTGATATCATAAGCTAATTTGAACAGAAAACTTATCAACTTAGAAGGAGACTAAATAGAACATCGCATCTAAAGACATCATAATTATAGGGAATAAAGAGACAAGTTAAAACTAAAGAGAAGAGGACGATTATTGAATAAATTATAAATAGGATTGCCAAGTTGCGAAAACCGTCGAATATTCAGTATTTCAACGTTTACGACTGATTTTTTTCGATCTGTCAGCTTTTGGTGGAACTTGGGGATCCATTGCAAGGTGTCTGTCATGCAAACTGCATAAGAGAGGGCAAACAGTTGATAAATAAAGTCTTGACTTTAAGATGTGCCAGTCAAAACACAACGGAACTTACAATTTATAAGTCTCGGACCGAATGTAATCGAAAACATGTGATAGCCCAACTTGAAGTTGATCCTCAATGGGCGAAACCCAGTAATTTCCACTTAGTTTAGCAACTTGTTTCGGTCCAGTTAAATCAAGATTGCCTAAGCAGATTAAGTAAAATAAAAGCGAGACAACCATACCTAATTCTGGAGGTAGAACAGTTAACCGATTTCCTTGAATATGGAGCTCCTTAAGTCGAGTAAGTTTGCCAACCTCAGGCGGAAGATAAATAAGGTCATTATCCCTTAATGCAAGCTAAAAAGCAAATATAAAAATCCAAATTAACCTACTATTTCTAAGTTTGAAAGATTACCAATTCCAGCTGGAAGAAGTTCAAAGTTATTATCTGACAAGTATAGGGCTCGTAGGGTTCCCAAGTTAAAGAAGTTATCAGGAAGTGTCGTCAAGTTATTGTAAGACAAATCCAGAACTTCAAGTGCAGGAAAAGCTCCGAAACCCCTAGGAAGAGTATCCAATCTATTCATTCCAAGAATAAGTGACCGAAGACCACGCAATTCTGATATTTTTGGTGTAATTGTCTGACGAATTTATTATTAAAATTAAAGGATATTTATACCGTTATCCAGTTGCCGAATAAGTTAAGATGTTCGAGGTGCTGCAGACTACCAATATCATCAGGAATTTCTAAAGAAAAATTTAAAATCACCGGAGAACATACCTTGAATTTTGTTAAAAGACAACGTCAGAGATTTCAAGAATGTAAGCGTAGCTATTTAATGTTAGAATAATATACGAGAAGCATACATAACTCTGGAAGCTCTGGAATAGATGTAAGTTCCTTTTTGCTGGCCTCCAATGCCGTTTCATTTCCTTGGCGCACATCTTCAATGCCTTTTTTGAACGACTTTAACTTATTCATTGTTTCCAGCCAGTTCGCCTGCGGATTGGTTCAAACGTAAGATCCGCCCGGCGACCTTTATAGCTAAGTTAATTTGCTTTAATTCCTAATAAAGACATTTATTTCAAAAACATTTCGAAAATTCGGCGGTTCAATTGTAAATAGATCGATTATTTACCTATTTTCTTTTTTAAATAACCAGCCATGAATAATTGTCTAATTTTCTGATTCTGTATTTTTAATGTAAACTTTATATTCCAAATGGTTATGAGTAATTTTAGCATTTACAAGAATAACAAGGTTTAAAAGTTGATTCACGAGATCAGGACATAGTAGAGGTACCCTAAAACGCCGCAGTATTTTTCAAACCCGCAAATCGCCTACCCCAGCTACTGATTGTTTGGTTTATTTATTTATGTATGTAACTTGACCAAATATACACTGAATATGAACTTCGCATCACAATAATTATATTTGAATTTTATAACTTAATGTATTATTTATGTGCTTCCTCCCGTTCGCATCAAAATTGTTCTTTTAAGTATTTTTCACGCATTTTGCAGATGGCGACATACGATGGCAAATTTATATCTTCTAAAGATTTTGATTTTGATATTCGTGCTAACAAAAAGCGTTTAACCGAGCTTTTGTTTCCAATTTCTTCTCGGGCTCCAATCCAAAGGTTTGTCCCTCCGATTTCTATTCTCAGCTTCTAGAGATTCAACAGACTTTCAGGAATTCTGGAAATTTGCTGCCAAGCTTCAATCCTTCCTACTAATGCACCCAAATGAGACAGGTTTGTAAGATTATCCTTACTTTTTTCTTGTGTACATCTGCAGGCTTTACTAATGGCAGTAGTCGATATAATCGTGTACTTAGACTTAATCTCCAAACTCGAAACTATCGCATAGAGGATTATATGCGACACAGAATGGGTGAAATTGGTGGGTCTTATCGTCATCGCACTACAGCGCTAACAGATCGAAATCTTCTCGCAGCTCACCTCATGTATGATATGTATCTCGATTTCCTAATGAAACAACGAGTAAGGTTTTGTTTAATTCATTTTAAACAATTTTTATATCTTAAATTATGTTCTTTATTTCAGTGGGCTAAAATCAAACGCTTAAAACGCGACCGTGAGAACCTTCCTATTGCTGCATTTCGTCAGCAATTGGTTAATGAATTGGATCGACAACAAGTTCTAGTCATTGCGGGGGACACAGGTTGCGGTAAATCAACCCAAGTCCCACAGTATTTAGCCGAGGAGAAAGTTAATCCTTCAGATTCTGAAAGCGTTCCTAAATACAAACGAATCGCCGTTACTCAACCTCGTAAAATTGCTTGTGTCAGCTTAGCTGCAAGGGTTAGCACGGAAATGCTTTGTGAAAAGGGAACGAAAGTTGGCTACCAAGTAAATTTAGGAATCTGCCTTCTTATTTTTTCTGTTCTATTTGAGCTTTTATTTCCGAATATGTTGTAGGTCAGATTCGAGAAGCATAAGTCGAGGGCTACTCAGGTTCTGTTCCTCACTGAAGGTCTTTTACTTCGACAAATGCAATCAGACCCATTCCTCAAGGAATACGATGTGATTGTTCTCGACGAGGTGAGTTTAATGTTTTAGCTTGCTCTTGTACCACCTTTTAGGGCATTTTTTGCAATCTTTGCTTTGTGTAAAGAGTGGTGCTTCTAGCAACTTATTTCGGCGATTCAAACCGATACCGAGCTATCGTAAGAGGTCATGGGTTCAGGATATCAGGATTACAATTAGCTTACGCCTGTCAATTGAGGACTGGTCAGATGCGCATTTCTCACTTAGTATCCAGTGTTTTTTCTCCACTCTTAATTTCCTTTGAATAATTTTATTCTTCATTATATATGAGCATTATATACTTAGTCCTCATGAGTTTTTGAATTACTTTAAGTTTTGCAACCCCTTTATTTCATGGGCTAACTGTTTTCCAATCATTCTTTTCATAACAGTGCACATGGCCACTCGAATCATTTATCATATTTAGTTTTTTTTAACAATTCATCTGCAGTGTAATTTTGCGAATATAATCGCTATTTCACTGCCACATCAGCATTATTTTTTTACTCTTGACGAAAAGACGCCTTTTGCGCTCAGTATTTATGAAGGATCGTGGATATAGTGAAATTATTAAGGAGTAATTCCTTTGATCAAATTTATCAGAAGTTAATTTCTTCAAACTAGTTTTATTCACGTTCTTTTCTTTGATGTTTGTTTTATGGCTCTAGGTTCACGAAAGGCATTGGCAGACAGATTGCCTTCTGGGTCTCATGAAATGTCTAGTGATGGCTCGACCCGAAGTTCGTCTGGTTCTCATGTCTGCTACAATCAATGTCAACCTGTTCGCCAATTTCTTTAACGACTGCCCAATTCTCAAAGTAATTATGAGCTATCAATATTACTGACTTATTTAAAGTAGGTGACTGTACAACTGTAATTTGTTTAATTTCAAGGTGCCAGGACGTCTCTACCCAATTACAGTGAAATATTGTCCGCTTACGCCGGCTGAACAGGCAGCATCCTTGGAACGTATTGATCCAGCTCCCTATGTCCGTCTACTACAGCATATTGACCAAACCTATGAAGTATCTGAACGTGGCGACTTGCTCGTTTTCCTTTCTGGTATGGCTGAAATCCAAGTGAGTGATAATTTTCTCCGAATCCATCTGGGATTATGATCTGTCTTATGACAATAACTTTCACTGGAACGTGGTTTTTACTTATAGGCTAAGTCCATTAGAATTGTTCGCAAAACTTGATTTGCCATGAAGGAATGTTTCTTGGGTCTGCTTTTACAAGAAACAGTCTTATTTATAAGAATCAACCAGTGCGCTTGTTCACCAGCATCACTGAATTTATACTAATGGGCACTAATTTCATGATTTCTGACTTTGCAGACATTCAAGCTAGCATCTGCGCCACCGATGTACAAATGCAGTTTTTTAATCCTTGTATCATTTACGTGGTGCTATAGACATTTTATTATCTCCATCTAAGCCAATTTCAAGTTACAAATACGTATTATTGTGTTGATGCCTTCATTATGAAAATACTTTCTTTGCAGATAGTGATGGAGGCATGCAAAGCCTACGCTGAACAAACCAAACGCTGGATTGTTCTGCCCTTACACAGTGCCCTTCCTGCGTTCAGTCAAGAAAAAATTTTCCACACTCCACCCGATGGTGTTAGAAAGTGTGTCCTTGCAACCAACATTGCTGAAACTTCTGTCACAATTGATGGAATCAGGTGAATAGCATCAATTGCTCTTATTCCTGCCTCATGTGTCAGTGGAAAAACCCCATTGTAATTGTTTGTATGTATTTTCTTTAGATTTGTGGCTGATTCGGGTAAAGTAAAAGAACTTACCTGGGACGCTCTATCACGAATGCGTCGTTTGAAAGAGACCACTGTTTCAAAAGCAAGTGCCGACCAGAGGAAAGGCAGAGCCGGCCGTACTGGTCCTGGGGTTTGTTTCCGATTCTTTAAGGAGGAGGAATACAACCAATTCCAGGTTTGTTATCTTTTTTTGGTTTTCCTACTATTTGATTATATGGTCTAGCCAGTTTATTAATGATTCTAGCCCTTCACAACGCCGGAGATTCAACGAGTGCCTTTGGATTTGTTGGCTCTGCAAATGATGGCTATGGGACTTCCTGATGTGAAGCGCTTTCCTTTCATTGAGCCTCCTGAAACCAAGTCGCTTGATGAAGCTCTCGAAACGCTTATGGTAAGTAAATTCAGGCATGTATGTTGTGGCTCAAATATCTGCGAACGTATCCCAGATGATACAAATTTACTACTCGACTTTTTTCAGGCCCAAAGACAATATTTTTGGAGTTTACTTAAAACAGCTGTTTGTTTAATCGTATTCTAAGATTTATTGACACTTAAATCCTAAGATTGGAAGGGATGAGGTTCGGTCATGCAATTTTAGCGTTGCTGGTCAAGTTCCACATGGTTTTCAATTAATCTAATATAAATTGAAGTAGCTTTCATCTACCGATTAACGAATGTATCGGCTGTAAGCTAGACGACTCAAGAGCAACTTTTAATTATATTTGTTAAATACTTGTCTTGCCCATAAGGCTACGTTTAATTGGGAAATCCTAGTAAACAGATGTTTAATCACCTCATGGTCCTCTAGAAGAGCATAGCGTATCTTTTATTCCTTTTACAGTCGCATGGTGCAGCGGCAAAGTGGAGCGATGCCTCAATGAAGGATACTAAAACTGATCAACCCATTCGTGATCGAATGGTGATCACTCCATTAGGCCGTCTCTTGGCTGAACTGCCAGTTGAGTTGGGTATCGGCCGAGTTCTCGTTATGGCTGCCCTATTTGCTGTGGTGGAACCAGTTCTCAGTTTGGCCACAGGAATGGCTGTGGCTTGTCCGGTTGGTGCTGCACGTAGCGGAGAAGCCCGTTTGCGACAATCAGAAGCCCTGAAACCCTTTGAAAATGACAACGGAACCCCATTTATGATTGCTGATCTATTTGATGAATGGCTTCAGGTATTATTATTGCACACTACACTGAATTATGTTATTTTATGAAAGTTATTTCAACTTATTTCAAATGTTCGACTTTCCTGATCTATGTAGTTGAGAGGTCAAAACTAATTGCACCGGTATCTTTGCTGGTAATTCCCTCACCTATAGATTAAAATGCTTACCCAGCTTTGAATCTTTTGCCAATCCATTTTTTAGAAGATGACAATGCATGGCTTCTTTGTAAAGACGTGCTTGGCTAGCGATCAAAGCAATTTTGCTTGGTTCCATGTTACAAGTACGTCGAAATTTGGCCTAGTCCTTCCATAGTTTCATTAGCTGTTACCTACTAGTTATGGGATTGTGCACAACCTCATAATTAGCTAATTCTTTTAATTGAATTCTTCCAGTTAAGCTGATCTTCAGTCGAGTCGAGAAAAAGATCCAAAAGTCAGCGGAATTGTTTTTTTTAAATTAGCTTTTCTAGTTCCTGAAAGAAGATAGATGAAGGCCTATAACGCAGACGACGATTTTTTGAAGAAATAAATTCGCGTATAGAGAAATGAGTAAGTTGTAAATGTTCGGCTGCACGGTTAGGCAACATTTGCAAATATGATTTCTTCTTTGGTATCTAGCATATCCAGGCTCGAGTGTAGAATTCCACTAATCCATGTCCAGTGTGGGATGAAGTCTATGAATGGCGCTCGATTGCACCATGAGTATTTGATTCGGTTTCCCAACAAAATGAGTTTTTAAGTATTCGATCTAGTGAGGAAAGGGCAATGATTTCATGATTCTTTAATATCAAAGAGCTCAGATGTCCATGAGAACCCCAGGTATTATTTAAACTTTTGTATTGTTCAGTTATAATTATAATGTGTTTCTTTGAGATGTGATGAAGGATTCGTTCCAACCCCTAAGGAGTAACTTCATTTTTCGACAGTATTTTAGTCGATGGTCTTGAATAACTGTCCTGAGCAATAATCCTTATATCCTTGTAGATCAAATCCCGTTCAGCTGCCCGAGCTGGTCTCTTACGTAGAGATGATGAAGTTGTGGAGGACGATGAACGAAACAACCCTTCAGCACAACGCTGGGCCCGTCGTTTAGGTTTAGAGGAACAACGACTCTATGAAATGGTTCGTTTGAGAGCCCAGTTTTTCCAACTCCTAAGGGAGTCGGGCCTCTGTTCAACAGGGGATGAGAAGAGTGGTGCTGAAAAGGCTGCAATCAGCCATCGCCGAGCTCTTCAACAAGCTCAACATCGCGAACATCTGAAGACCAAACGAAGGCGATTGCTTACGCTTCATGACAATGTTAGTTACTTTTTATTTTACAGTTCTATGTTTAGACGCCGGCAAAAGCATTAAGTATCGCTTATTCTACTATTTGTTTAAGAATCTCTCCTTCCTTGCCTCACTAATGCTGAGTTAAGTTTCGCGCTCAGTATTTCATGCAAATGTTCTTGATTTATTGGATGTACTTTGAGAGGGGGAGTGCTTAAGTGAGTAACATGTGTTTGCTCCTAACTATTAAATAGACTAGGCCACTTTTATACCAATCTTCCCTACAATCAATGGAATAGCGAGAAAGGACAATTGCGAACATAGGATTAATTGATAGCAGTCTTCAAGAAAGAGGATGAGACCGAGAGTGTTCTGTAGACATCGGTAGGTATTGCTTATGGGCCGGAAGTCGGATGCGGTAAGCGCAGCAAATACGGCAGATCTTTGTGTTTTGAATTTGGAGACAACATACTCGGTTAAGATGATTGTAGATTATCTTATTTACTCATTGAGTGAATGGTTTTGAGTTTTCTTTATTTGGTTCAGTTCAGTTTACTTGATTGCCCAGGTTTTGAGGACCTAGGCGATTCTCGGATGTTGGACCTACTCAGAGTTGAAAATCTGTAGGAAATATCGATGAAAGTTTAAATTCTAGCCAAATACAATAGGTCGATTCGCTACAAGACAATTATTTTCTCTCCACCATCTTACCTGCTTACAATTTTAATCTAGATTCCATTGATTTTTCCTTCAGGAAGACGGCGGTAGTGGAGGTGAAGACGAAGACGATCATGGCGAATCTGGTTCGTCAGTCAGTGCCTCAGGCATTGCCAGACTTCACAGTTGGCTTCAAGGTCGAAAGGATGGTCGTCGAACTGGCGATCTCGGTTCTTCTCTCGAAGGCACCGGGTTATCAGTTCGTGATCTTGAGTTGGTACTGTGCCACGATCTGGATAATCTATCGCGATGGGCTGATAGTCATCGTAAGCGAACCCGTGCCGATCTACTTTTGCTCAAAGTAGTTCTTGCTGCGGGACTGTATCCTCAAGTGGCCATACCTGATCCTGCTAATGCCTATAGGGTAGCGAATAAGGGTGGTGCGGCTGGACCAGGTGCGGAAATGGTATTTCATACTCCCGTAAGTTTACAATCATCTCCACTTTTAGTCTCTGACTAAATTGTTCCAGTTCGATATGATTTTCAACTCATGTGATTGTCTTATAGACTAAAGCCTTTGTGGCACTACAACCGAATGATATGTTTGTTAAGCAACCGGACTGTCTGTTTCCGCAAAAACGATATCAAGATGATGAGGAGAGTGAGATTGCTAAATCTGCTGAAGAATCGACAGCTGCATCTGGGCAATCTCGACCTCTGGCTAAGGCCGTTGGTAGCCAATTTGCTACTGATCATCAAATTCTCATCTATCTGTAAGTTCCTATTGATATTCCGTGCAATGTTTAGCCGAACTAGTTTAAATGATGTTCATAATATGAATTATATCGCGCACAAGACTAAATAGTGGTTAGATTTAAATCTTATCATATTATCTATGCTTGCTTTAGAGATTTACTGGAGACAACCAAACCCTTCTTGGTGAATACCATCCGTGTACCGGCGCTTCCGACACTTCTGTTGAATGCTCGTGAAATAGATGCCAATGCAAATGGTACTAGGTTTGTCAAACCGAGATTACAAGTTGTGCCTCAAATCTTTCCTGCCTAGCCTAATCGATCATAACTCTATGAATATGGATTTTCTATGAGCACTCGTATTAAAAAAATAATACATTATCGACTCCCCAGATCGGACTTGATAAATAAGTGCTGCCTTTTTAATGGCCTATTAATTCAATTATGGATGATTAAAATTGGCTCCGTAGCATTAGAAATTAAAATATAATAGCAAAAGATTTATTTTTTAAATTTCTCGCCTGCTGTGCTGTGTTATACCATTTAGAATTTTATGATGTAATCCTAAGATTTCTGAGTGGGTTCGTATCCGTGGTGTTTAGAGTTAGCTAAAAGTTCATTGAATTTGTACGCCTGGACATTTCTCCTCACAGCTATGGCCACTAGTTCCTACCATTAATCAGATAGGACAAAAACTGCTATGTTCACTTACGGCCGCTCCTTTATGTACTATGAAATGAACTCTGTAATTATTGCTAATGGTCTAAGTTTAAAACAATCCCCTTGCCTTTTCAGATTGGTATTCGATCGCTGGGTCGAAGTTGTTCTGCTTGATCCAGAAGCCGCTCAAAGATCTCTTGCAGCAGCTATTTGGTTGCGAACTAGTCTTGAACGTCTTTTGCAGATTAAACTTGAAGGTAATTGTAAACGTTATTTACTTTCCATTTCTTGCATTAAAACCTTGTTTTCAGTATTGAGGTTCTAGACCTGTTGAATGTAATCAAGAAATGTGATCGCTGAATATTTTATGCTCATCTTGTATCCGAGGTGTGCGGAGAGGGCATAGATTAGCTATCTTGACTAGTTGATAACTTTTAAATGGAAGGATCTAGGTCTATCCAGCAGAGCTTTACGCAGTAGTTCAAACTATTTCACACATTTTATTGTAGAATCTCAGGGTCGTCGGTTGAATGTAGCCGAGGAGAGTGGTGAGGACCATTTAGTTGATAAGGAGGCAGCCTCTTCAATAACCTCCAAATCGTCACATGCCAGCAAACGGGCTCTGGAGTTTAGACGCCTTCAACGACTACTCTGTGAACATTTGGCAGCCTTTTTGGGTCAACAGACCTCAGGATTACATACTCTTAGGAAACTGAGCGCTGCTGATTCGAAAAATCTCTTCACTATCGCCTCCGCTTCTGAAGATGGTGCTAGTAATTCAAAGTCATATACTCCTTCGAGTTTATCTGAATGTAAGCGCCTCAGTCGTGTAAAAAACTTCATTTACTCTATTCAGTCGCTAGAAGGCTTAGATTAACATATTAATATATTGAAAGGATCCATATTCCATCCAAAAATTAGGTATGTGTTCAATTTATGCTTAAATACTTATTTTCTTTAGCTGATGTTGTTCGCCCAAATACAGAAAAGGGAGGCTTCCAAGTGACTCCGTATCTCACAATTAACTCGTAAGTTCTGCTACCCCTGTTTTTGTTTTGTTTCGTTTTAGTAATTTGAAGCTTCCGCTTCCCTCTTACTTTGTAACAGAGATTAATGTCTGTTTTTTTTATCGGCAATTCAACCCCCGATAGAGGTTCTTCTATTGTCCTCCATTTGATTTTGGATCAAATCGAAAGACAGATCACTATAGTAGAAGACGCGATATGCCGAAAAATGTTCATTGAGTTGTCAGCTTCTGAATTATTGTTGTTCTTTACGTAAACGAGGTTTTTTTATAGTATTACGAATGAAGACCACACGCAGCACACTGTTAGTACTCAAAACGCTGATAACACCAAGCTATTGGTTTGAGCTAACAAAGGAATCCTTTAAGGCGTATTTCAATTTGCTCTAGAATGCTCAGTATGTGATCCTATTTAGCGTTTTCTGGAAAAGTATCGCATATTTATATCACTTGTAGGTTCTCCACTTCTATATCAACTCTGTTTTGCAATATTGAAATGTCAAGACTGACTATCATAGTGGAGCAACAATTAGGCAGCATTGATTTACTCTGTAACCCGGATGAAAGGAAGATTAATAAAATTTGAATTTTTCAATGCTAATCACCCCTTAAGTATTGTAAGCTCGAATCCAAATGTAATAGCAGGAATCTGAAATCTCGACTGTACATTCTTCCGATCTCTTCTCTTTATTTCTTTCTGCTAATCAATTTCGGTTTTTTTCTGCTATTAAGGATATAAACTTTTCTTTACATCACTTTGAGAGTGGTAATGAGTGTGATAATACCCCCAGCTAGTATTGAATTTTCTCCAGCGATATTAACCATTTAGCACCGAATTATTTTTTGTGTCTTAAAAAATTCCCCCCCCCCCTCCCACTGTTTTCCCTTCTGTTGGGAGTCTAGTTCGAGTGAGGTTATTTTGAAAGGGAGGTGGTTAAAGGGGGTTATAATGAAGAAATTGCAGGACACTTTTTAAACTGCACTATTCCTTTGCCATCTGCCAGCTTTCTAATCCCAGTACTAATTAATATTTTAGCATCTTTGAAGAAAATTCTATTTTCTGAAATAGTGAAACTTGGGTATTATTGAAGCTTGCATTAATTTAGACTGCGGCCAATGGAACCCCAACAAGACAAAAATCTCACTCGACAGCTTCCAAAACCTGATTTAGATCAAGATGACAGTGATAGTGACAACCTCGATGCAGAGGAAAAGTTGAGAGATGAAGAAGGGGCTGCAACAGCCTCGAGTTTGGAATGTCTAGATCTCGCCTTACGTCTTCATCGGCAAATCAAGTTGGCACTTGACGCAGGTCGCGGTGAGAAGCCTCCACAAAATTCTTCATCCAAAGACGATGGAAGCGATGATGAGTGTGAATTTATTGACGGCGAGGATGTGAATAGGTGTGAGAAATGCGGCAAACGTCTGCCCAGAAAACCAACAACTGCTGATATTCTCAGGCACAGGAAACACTGCACTAAGTGAAAAGATCTTTAAATAATGTATATTCCATTACAATAATTTTCCATTTTGTAATAAAATGTTTTTTTGTGAATAGTTTTTAATTCAAATGCGTTACAGCTGCTGCTCTAAATCGTAGGCTGAATTCTATTTATTAATCGATTTATTTAGCTTATCCCTGAGGGTGAGTTAGATAATGGAGAGCCAAAAGATAACTCAATAAACAAGACATAATTACACCACACCAAGGGGCTAGAGACATAAAGGGGGTGATATCAACCGGAAAGGCTATGCGGAGAATTAAAAGTTAGACTGAAATAATTGACTTTGCAAACAGTGATGCAAATTACCGCCTCCTTCGACGCATTATAAAAGCGTTACAACAAAAGACACGTGTTAGCGATTAGAATGTTTTCTCATTTCAAATAGGTAATAAAGGCACAAGTAAAAGAAAAATAAAGTAAACAAGAAAGCAAGCAAACAGTTAAGAATACAAATTCAGTTATTTTGGTGATCAGCAAGAAGGGGAGCATGGTTGTCACGATGTTCAGCCCCATGAGGATTGAAGCTCGTTGTCCTTAAATTGACTGGAACAGCTTTCAGTTGTGCTTCACGAAGTTTCTTGTCCTATAGAAGTAAAATAAACCATGCATTTGATGGTAAATGCAACAGAGACTGTATTCTGTCCATTCATTTAGTTAGGAAAACGCTGAATCAATAACCCTTAATGGACGCAAAAATCAGGAATACAATGTATCAATTTGAATTCAAGGGTCAACAAAGCTGTGGTTCGGTTAAGAATGATCCATTACTATCTCTTTCTGAATGCAGAGATTAAAAGTAAATAACGCTAGACATTTAAGTGTAAAAGGATGGGGGCTAAGACATTAGGGTACCATAAAATTCGGTTACTGGCTGTTTGGATATACAGACAATTGGACAAATAAATTGTATGTTAGCATTTAAATACGTTATATTAATAAAAAAATGTGAAATTAACTTACGAGAAGTCTCACAATACAGCTAAGAGGTATCCAAACAATCAAAGTCAAAGTGACAATCACAGCCACAATGTTATTCCACAAAAGAGTTGCTAAAACAACAAAATCATATCAGAACCCCACTTAGCAACAATGTTAGTTATAACATTTCTAAATTATTGAGTATATGACAGCATCATAAAGGAAAATAGGTATAAAAAGAGTTCTCAAATTTTCTTACTCCATCCATCAGTTGAAAGGAATAGGGGCCACAGTCTTCCTACATTTTGCGTTTTAGACTCAACGCAGAGTCCATTTCGACAGATTCCCACGGCACATGGTCGGTTATTTTCCAGATGCATGGTCACCAACTCCGAGAAATTAACCACTTTCTTTAAGTCGGTTTCATAATCCTTCGCCAAATGAGCATTCTCTCTAGTCACAAAGTAATATTTCTCTAGACTTGTGTTTAAGATGTCTGTCGAGAATGGCAATTGAAATAGATTCCAGCTACCGTTGGATAGAGGTGTAGTCTCATTAGCCAATGAGAATGAAGACAATGCAGCTATTGGTTGACACATCATTCGGCGATCTCCATTGGCCATTTCAATATCAAACGCGCAGCAAATCAGACAAGAGTCCTCAGCTGTGATAAAAAGTGAGTAATTCGGCCGACTTCAAAGAAATGATTGTCAATACCACCCTAAATTAAACTTTTATATTACCTTTATCACAGATACACGTTTTAAGACCAAGACGAGAACAGAAAGGCGTACAGACACCGTTAAGACAATGACCGTGTTCATAACACCGACGACCAACTTCAGAAATGGGCAAGGGTCCCGGACACACAGGCGATTGGCCATCGCATCGACCAGCAGACAAACAAGGTGAAACTTCTGGGTCAGGTTCTGCGCAGAGAGTTCCCTTTTCAGCCAACTGACAAGCTTTAAATAAAAGATCAAACCGGATATTGAAAAAAAGATCCTACTATTAGTCGTACTATCAGTTAGGAAAATCGTACTTGGAGTACAACATTGGTGATTGCGAGGAGAGCATTGGGCACCAGGCTTGAGCTGACATGTGGAGGTACAACAGAGATCCTCACCACTTCTACGAAAGCCAGGGTCACACTGTTCTCCAGGATCAATACGTGAGTTTCCACATCGTGACAGCGGTAATCCATCAAAAGGGCGCTCTTCAAAGCAGAGTGCAGCTCTAGACGCTAGACAACGGCCAATGGATCGACGGCTGCAGGGCGAGAAGCGCTGTAAATAAGCAGCAAATAAATGCAGTAATGTTAATTGATCATTGTTCTAAGTGAGAAAGCTGTAATTGTACTTTTACCCGTTTACCTTATTATGACCTATAGCACGGAAAAGTTGTGACAATACTGCTTATTGAAGAAAAGTAGAGATCATGGAAGGAAGGTGATGGCAGGAGAGCAGATCCATTGATGAGGAGGGTGTGATGGATGTCAACATTGTGATTCTTTAATATCTTAAATTTTAAGGCATTACTTTACACTCTCCTATTTCGGACTCTTTCATTTTGTGCATAAAGGAGTACTGTAAGAAAACCGAGGTGCTTTGGTTCGTTGTTCACAAAAATGTAGAAATAGGATGGGTCCCTTGGAAAGCAGATCGTAATTTGCATTAGTACTTTCCAAATAGAGAGGATGGCAATCAAACAAAGGTCTCTGAAAAACTTCTCTTCCTAGAAAATCTCGAAACCTCCAGGAAAAAAGATTTAGCTGCATTCGTAGTAAACAGTTTCCTTTATTTAAAACAAGTATTTCCCTGAGTTCAACAAACAAGATTTTAACTTATCAGATCCGACATAGTAAGTGGATAAAAAAATAGGCAAGTACAAAGAACCAGAATCGCATAGGAGAGTCAATAGAAATTTGACCAAAGTCAACCAAAAGGAGAAAACCAAATTTACAAATAAGAAACTCACGTAGTTATTTGGAGAGTACCCAGGCACAGCATAAGTATACATGAGATACCGACCTCCAGCCTCAGCTGAGGGTGTGCATTCAGCCGTGTCGGGATCGTGAGGGGCTCCCCAGGAATGACCCAATTCATGAGCGGTCACCAGTTCCGCCACACTACTTAATACTTGCGACCCCTCAGAATCACAGTACGTTGTGAATCCAATATTTGGTGCCATAAAAACTGATGTACCATCGGCTTCTCGAGTTTCCACGTAATCTAAGATGTCAAATAAGGATTTAATCAAATGCAGGTATACAATAGATTTCGAAGCTTACATGAATTCTAGTTCTAAACCCATTTCCGTTTGATAAGAACAAATTGATAAATTTATAATAAATACAAGCTAAAAGCATATTTTCCATCAACTCAAACTTGAAACCCGATAGAGATCGTGGGCCATTAAAACGCATTCGATTGAACTAACATCACAAGTTGATTGAGCAATTCATTTAAATGAAAAGTGAGACTTTTGTGCTCCAACAAACTAAAGTTCATTACAGCAAAAGTATCAAAGCACAAATTCAATTGTGCTAACCTCGCTTTTAACAGTAAAGCACACACACACATTTCGTTAGGCCGTTAGGCGTTGTTTACTTTAACGAATTATTAAAATGATAAGGTACACTTGGAATGAATAATATAATAACCGAGGCAAACTTGCTCATAGAATATATACAAAACTTAAATTTTGAACATTGACAGCAGTAATAGTTAAGAGATGTGGAGCCCAGATTTCACCATATAGATTCTAAAGAAATCCTATTTAAGAAGGTGCGTTAAGGGGGTTTCAAAAGCACACGACCAATCATTTTAAACGATCAGCAGGAATAAGTATACTCTATCAGTAGCCCTTACTAGAGGGAGAGCAAATTCCTCCAATATGATACGAAGAAGGTCCAGCCATCCAAGACATCCCCAGAACTCCAAATGGATTCCTTGTGAAGGTCAGAAAATGGTGCAGACAGGCGCTGCTAAAATTCCTTCGACTGAATTTCTACGAAGGCATATCACTAAATCAATAAATACTGCTGACTTACGGTTAGTAGAGCTTTGGCATTATTCACTTCTTTGGGTTCCGGAGTCGGGCTTGTTTCAATCGATATCTGGCGAGAGTTTTCAAGAATAAATTTTTCACAGAACTTACTCCTTTAATATAAAATCCAAATCCACTTTGTGTAAAATTAGCATTATCAGCATCAATAAAATCTGTCGACATGAATATCTCATTAACGCGACTGAATGCTTTAACCTATGTTTGAACAAAAAGGTCAAACACATTAGGAAATGGAACTTACGATAATATCTACAGTTTTGGCAAAATCACTATCGCCGACATTCAGAAAAAACATATAATCAGCGATGAAATGTAATCCACAAAATTTTTTCTTAGTATTTAGACTGCGCTTTTGCCTTTTAGATGTCTCTAAAGAAGAAAGGTAAAAGTGAATCATCAGTTACCATTAGAATTAACTGCAACAGAATGTGGAACTTGTGGAAATACGTCATGCGAAACTGACCTATAAACTTTAATCCCACTTTAACAAAAATATTTACATATTTGGCAGAACCACATCACCTAATCGATAAGCGAGAACCTTTCGGCTAGCGGCATATTGTGGAAAATAAGAAAGAGGCTAAGTGGTAAAATGTAATGAAAGGAGACAAACCTCAAACAGATAGATTTCCTGTAGAGTTTTAATTGTAGCATAGAACTCTCCATTAGACCCGATTAATATGCTAACTTTTGAAGGGAATTCATCCTCGAGGATACCATGAATTTCTTCGGGGAGGTCAATATTATGCTGCCTAGTGATTTCACCACCATAAATTAAGTTGATTTGGGTTTTACGAATTGCGTTAGGTGATGGGTTCAGTTTAACCTTGAAATTTCTGGATGACTTAATCTTAAAGAGTATAAGTACAACTTACCGACCTAATGCACTGAAGACAATAGTTTGAGGTATGTTTCTAGATGGCACGGGATGCTCAATAATATCGTAAGTCAATAGATTTTTCAGTTCGATCCCTGTCCATATAAAAAATAAAATGGTTGAATAAGTTAAAAAATAATTTCGAAAATTTTACAGGGAAGCAACCAAATACGTTTATCTAATTGATAAAAACTAAATATTATGATGGAACAGAAGCAATAAATCCAAATAACTGACTTACCCACTTTGCATAAAATTGTGTGAAAATATAGAATAAAGAGTACGAAGTATTTCCCTTTAGTCATGTTCCTAATGAGGGAAGTAAAATAACACGAAAGATAGTTGCACTCCCATCATCCAATGAAGTCCAACGTGAGAACGTTTATCTGTCATTTTAACCTTGGCAAGAAAATAAGTCAAGGTTAATAATAAAAAAATGAAATGTGAAATCACATAGTATTAACAGTATAGTCTCCTAAATTATTTTAATACGTATATATAAGACAAATAAAAGACAAAATAGTCTGAGTGACTTTGCACCTCTCACAAGAAATTGATAATCCTTCAGATGACAAACTAGTCTTCATGAAAAATAACAGGTTTATAAACAACAGTTTTAAGAGTACGCGTTTAATTTGGGATTTTTTTATGTGAGAGACACTATTGCAAAGTTTTACCATATAAAATAAGTGTGTTTATTATTGATTAATTACTTTCATAAAATTATTATTGAATTAAATATTGAGATGTCAAACCAAGATCATTGGTCCTTTTGATCATTGGTCCTCATCAAATCAGAAGATGATGATATTCAATGAGCTTAGATACGACTGTGAAATTTTTCTGCTCATGAGCATAATGCCCACTAAGTACCTGTTATAAGTCAAGTGATTCCTGCATCTTTTCATTTATAGTTTTACGCTCGTTAAAGGGCAAATAAAGAGTAAATAGCAACTATGTCGTATAACAGTTTTATAAATCCTAAAATTTCCTTAATATACGTCAGAAGGCAACAAATATACTCAAAAATAATTAATAATAAAATATTGTCATTAAACATTGTGATGAAAATAGAAAGAGATTATTGTGCGTTTTGATAAACGGTACTGTCTTTTTAATGTTTTGCAAAAAAATTTATTAATATGGAAATGTGTAGGCACTTGCTCCCATAATAACATTGAGTGGTGTTTAATACATCTTGACAAGGAATGTATGCGTATTCATTGACTAATTACTAATTTATAGTTCGAAATAGGTGCTTTTCACATTTCACTGCCCAACTTTCGAAAATTTGATCTTCCGGTCAATCCACTTCTTTGATTAGATTAATATTTCGATTAGAAAATTCTATCTTTTTCCTTATGAAATTACACATTAAAAATCGATAAAATAGTTGAATCAGATAATAGAAATGGAAGAAATGTTGAACATTGCTGTTTAGTGAGCAAATTGTGACGTTTTCTAATAAAATAACACATTTGAAAATAGTTATTGAACGAATGAACTTACAGATAGGGCAGATTTTCTGAAACGTGACTAACGAAATTTTATTCTAATACCTTGAACTAATGAGCTCAGAAGAATACTATTTAAACCATCAAAATTTAGAAGAATGTTTAAAAATGGACAAACATTCATAGTCACGCATTATTTTCCATTTTATGTATTAATAAGCCTGCACGCTGATTTTACAAATTGACTTTATTCTGTTCTCGAATTTTCCAAAAGAAATTACATTAAGTGCTTTTTAATTATATTGAAAACACAAATAACTCATCTATTGAAAATCATCATTAGAGAAGCCCGAGCTTTGTGACTTATCGAGGCAACCAAGATAATGCACAAGATTGTCCAATATTATGGAACTACGCCCAAAAACAGAAATTTCAAAACTGCCTTTCCCGATTCCGTGTCTGGGTGTTGACAAAGAAACAAGCACCTGTATTTACTTGTGGAGATTAGTCTCTATATAATTCTTAACAATTAGACACCAAACTAATTTGTCATTCGAATTAGAATTAGTTTAATTGAATTAACATGCCACATTCTGATTTTAGGTCTTTGCGAATTTTGCATGATATATAATATTCAAAACTTCGAACTATCGAATATTGGCAACAATTATATCAATCTCATTAAATATGAGCATATTTTTCATCTATAAAAGCAAATACGCAAAAAATACTGAAAGCTAACATAAAATAAATAATAATTAATCCACAACTACTTACCTAGTATTGTTTTGTCATTACATATGAAATTGGTTTTATTCATCATATATTTACGCGCATGTATTGGAATGTCCTATATTGTTCTCTGCGAAATAGGATAATTTGACAAAAATATATCTATGTCTAAATTGTAATTATTTTTTAATTATTTGGGTAGCGCATTTTTGAGTAAATGAAAGATTAATTTTTTTCTTTTTTGTGTTTTTTTTATCTTGAAAATATATTATTTTAATTTACTTTTATTTATTCCGTTGAGTCAATTTACCATAGTCTTTGCGTTTTCTTGTTGATTTTATGATTAATTTGATTCATTTCCCCCTTTTATTTTCTAAATCATGTCTATATATTGTTAATTTATTTCCTAGAATCAATTAACTTTAATATCGATTACATCTAGATGGCCATACCATCAGCTATGCATTCAGAACAAGCCAAAATCCATAACGAAAACTGCTACGACGAAACCACGAATAGTAATAATTCCTCCATTTCCATACCAAAAGTTTCTTCATCTAATCGTCGAGTTCATTTTCCCGAAGGCGATTCTATTATTCTGGGTTTCCTAGAGCCATTCCACCCAAGTATAACTTTTCATAGCTTATTCAGAAATTTTTTATGCTATGTCTTTTAATACTAAATGTTCTCATTTTTAAGCTCCTGACAATTGTACAAGTGATGAATTAATTGCTGCCTATATCGCTTCATGCAAACTGTACAAGACACCACCTGTTGACTTTCTTCTGGAACAACTTCGGGTTAGTAATAAATAAATAATATTTTCCATAAAATTTCTTACACAAGTATATGTCTCTTTTTATCATTTCATCGGCGTTTGTTTCTTGCATTTGTACTCCTCGCTTACCAAAATCTCACCTCGTTATTAGCATATTCCTTCTACTTTCTCTTCAAAATTGTGTCTTTCACTGTTACCATTAGTAACGGGATTTCGCTCATGCGTATTTAACTCGAAGACAAGCCTAATCTATGTTATATTCGTTTTACTACGTAGTTGTATGTAGATCTAACTACTTTTTGCTTCCGCTTTTTATTTTTAATTCTAATTCTTATCTTTTTCGCCAAAATTTTATTTATTATTTCTCGTATTTTTATTCAAGGGAATCGACCTGTCCATTTGCAATGAACGCTACAGTCGACTCTGTTTACGCGGTAATAATTTATTTTTAATTTTTACTACACAAACCCTTGGATTTTAAAGCTTGTTATTTAATTAATCCCTCACTTTAATTTTATGGAAATTATCTACTTAACTTTAAAAGGAATTAGACTGAACCGGTACCAAATAGAAACCTTGGAGGAAGTCTTTCGCCGTGTTCACTTCCAGGAGGTTGATCTGGAAGATACATTCCTTGATGAACCAGTAAGTTGTTGCTCTAGACATATAAATCAGGGGTCTTATTTTAGCTACTAATCATTCATCTTTCCTCTTCATAGTCTGCAACGGCGCTATTTGACATGATGCTTCATTATGAGACATGTGTGGACCTGTCCATATCTCTGAGTCTGGAACGATCTAATTTTAGTGTCGCTTGGTCCCGATGTGTAACATATCTTCGAAAGGTAGGTTAAATTATTTGTTGTTTTATAGACCCTACAGTATGAGTTCTTTGGGTGGCAAACTGATAACTAAGTGGGCAGTACAATTTTATAAGATTTTTTTTTTCAAATAACTTAATACAATAGAACATGTCGCATATCTAATTAATTGCCTATTATATCGATCATGCAAAATAAAGCCCGCTAAACATTCAAATTACTAAATTCTTTAATAATCTAGGCATTCGATTTATGCCTTCATTAGTGATCCTTATTGCGAACTCATAAGGTACTTAAACACTTTTTTTCACTTCTAATAAAATAATCAGCACCAGTTTTTATAATACGCTTCCCTCAGTTCATAATTTTACAGATTTACATCGGCCGATCAAAAGTACTTGTGACTAACTAAAGTGCAATCAATCGATATTCTATAATTTCCTCCTCGCGACTGGTGTACACTTGTGCTGCAGTTGTTAATGGAAGGCTATTACTTTAAATGTTAGCGTAATTCCCAGGCGCGTAAATAAAAGTTGGTCATTAAAGAACATTTTAAGCCTATTGATAGCCACAGTACTATAGTTACAATAATTATCGTGGTTTAAACATTAGCAATTTTTGATAATTTTTCATTTCCTCTTCCGACAGCTGGAGAGCTTATACTTTAAATGGCTCCATAATTCCCTTGTTAACTTCGGTTGTGCGTCTATTTGCAGGCGAGGTATTAAAAGTTCAGAGTGATTGAAATGAAAAACGAACCTAATTAATGTTAACTGATAGATAGATGCAAGTTGATTGATCAGGAACAGTTTCCAATGGCCATAATGTGCATCGCTTTACTCCTAAACGCCTCTGGAAAGACATTTTCCAATGCACATTTGGTAAAAGAGTAGCACTTCGAAGATTTGTTAGAAACTTATTCTGCCAATCCTTTTATTTGTTCTGCTCTCTGCGTTTATGTCTATTTTTATCGGACCTGTGACCTTTAAATTCTCAGCCGTAGAAGTCGACTGTTACGCTACATACGCACAAAGTGTATTTGCCATCTTACAAAACGACAAAAGCTCATCACGGTGAGTGTTTTACGTAGTGGAAACATGCTGTCACGGGTCCTACGAGAAACCCACATTTCATCATCTCTCTTTGACCATTATCTATCAGAGTGTTTGGTCATCCGCACCACTGAATGTACAGGTATGAGCGTTGACTTAACAGACATGCAAGACAGCAACTTCGTTTTATGGATTTCTACTACCAACCAAAATTGAGGTGGAAGTTAGCCTTAATCATAATAAATCAGATCAGAACAACAGATTTGATTCTAAAATTTTATTACTATCTCCATTTCACTTCATTCTAGTCTGGAGCCCTCCAGCGATTCAAACTTTCCCATACTCCTCTCACAGTCAATCTCTTCAACGGTCTGTCTCTATCCGGTCTTTCCCTTCAAAGTCTCACTTTTCGAGACTGTTCCCTCACTGGCTCTTCTCTACACTACCTCCTTCGTCTTCTCCGCTTTCTAATGACATATACAATAAACAGTAGCAATACTTCGTCCACAAACTCCAGGGGCTACGGCTGTACTAATGCCAGTCGATATCCTCGTCCTTCGTATCGTGGCCCTTTAGCTCCTGTCCCATGGCCCTTGATTCTACGCCTCCCGGAGAATAAAATCAATGCTGTGGATGCTGAGAATTTAGTTCTTCTTGTGAGGCATCAACTTGTTATGCTGCCCGGACCACCGACTCCCACGACATCTTCTGATGAAAATTTGGATTCAGAAGCGACTTCTGCACCGAAAAATAAGCCGGCAGGCGGATCAGGGTATCTTGAGGAATTGGATTTATCGCATAACAACCTAAGAGTACGTCAGTCTTACTAGGTCTTAGTATTATATAGATTCATTAAAATGTTGGATTAACTAATCTGGGTAATGGAGTTTCCGCTCCAGATAAACTTTCTCACACCTCTAAAGTGGTTCTTTTTTTTCCAAAAAAAGAATGCTTTTATTAATCATTAACGAGAGAGAGAGCGAGATGGAGAGGCACCTTTAGAGTGCTAATCTGCGCGATTCATTGTTCGAAATATTTAATGTGTGCTTCAATGGATTTTAAGCTGCTAACTTTAGATTTTAATGATAAGGATATACGTTGTTGTTGTTGCATAGCATTCATACTCTTCGGTGTAAAGTCTACCAAGGTTTGAAAATAAATGATTTCGAATTCGCAATAGATGTAGAATACACAATGTATTCAATGGTCTTTCAGTCTTTGTAGAAAGTTTGCTTGGTAAAATTTATAAATTTCATATCTTTGCTACGGGCAACAAACTAATCCGGAATCGTGTCTATTGAGTGTCAGTTGTTATTGGATCGGCTCTGCATATGCGTTCAATAAAACTATTTGAAATTTGAGAGGGGAAAAAAGACTGATCCACAGATGTAAAGAGACAGAGGGTCACAAGGGCAGAGAAAAGGTAAGGTGAGCACTTTGGAAGTGGTCGAATATGACATATAGTGGGGTGATGGTAGTTTGAAGTCAGAAGTCAACTGCCCATTGATAGACTTTTTGCCGTATGAGAATACGTTGCCCAGGGTGTAACACGTGGAGGCAAGTTTATTGCATACCCCACTACTAGTCCTAATTTACCTCAAAATGGAGGTTTAATGGACAAGTGGGTAGACCTTTTGGGCTAAGACTACTTCCTATAAACTCTGTTTGTCATGATAACAGCTAGTTTAGAGGCAGAAACGGGCTTGCTTATGAGGATGCACGCTGAATAATTTCAAGTAACTTGTGTTCTAATTAAGGAAGATTGTGTAGCGAAAACCGTCTCCTGGACAACGAAATTTTCTTCTGGCGTCTCGAATCGTAGGGCCGACGAATGCATAAATAGCTTCTTTGAAGTTGAAATGAATTGTTGTGGCATTAATAATTTTGCGTTACTGTTTTTATCATTTATATTCATAGAATTCTTCCACGGATAATGATATTATTAAGATTATTATACCAATTCCTCGTTTGAAATCCTCTTCAATACTATCTAATGCTGCAAAATGATGAACAGAGTTGGGAACGTTTTTTGTGATTAATTGATATGCAAAATAAAATTTATTCTCTTAATGGAGGTAATGAACTAACAGTTCAATCATTAAAATATTAAAATCGGAAGCTATATTTAAATCATTTCGTGGATGGTGGTTTAAATGCGTTTAATGATATAATAGCCGTTTCATATTTTAATTTTTAATTTACTATTTTTTTATTGTCTTTGTGCTTGGTGTTTCTATTTGTAGTTGGGACTAAAATCTCTTCATTGCTACACATCTGCGAAAAAGCCAGTACTTCTCACTACAAATTGATCCCAGTAAATAGCTTTAATTAAACGGTCCATGTAGCAAGTCACTTGGAATACACCTTGAGTGAGGCGCGCACTATGAGATGAAAATGAAAATCTCTTTGAAGATATTATATTATTGTGAGAGCACAAAAACTAGACTCTTATCACACTGCTTTCCCAAAACGGTGGATTGTGGGAACCTATAATAGGTGATTGAGTAGTAAGCATCTATATTTTTACAATTAAATGATTTATTATTTACTACTCTGAAAAACAAAACATTTTAGGAGCATGCATAGCATAATATTTTATTGAAGCTTCGGATCATGCGTAAACGTTAACTTCCAGTTTCTTAAATCTCTCCTGATTTCTTAATAACAGGCCCATTTTTTTGGAGATCGATAGAGCACTCGAATAGCACAAAAGGACCCAGAACTGTGGGGAGTGCGAGAGGGAGAGAGCTCCACGAAATGTGATTACCCTTTCTTCATTTTAAACTTATAGTATTTAGTTCTGAAGGTTATATTCATATGAAATCCCCTCTGTATTTCGTGTTGAGCAGAAGTGAATTAGGATTATTCATATGAAAGTACGCATGCAGTATCTCAAAAACTAAGAGCTATTGCGCATGGCCAATTTCTTTACAGACACTCTGATGAGGAAATTTGTAAGCCAACCCGAACATTTTATCAGTAATCATTACACTGCTAGACATCTTTTGCATCAGAATTCTTGATCCATTATCGATCTCCTTCACACTCGAACAAGTAATTGCCTAACCCCATATTACAACGAAAGCAGCACACTATTGGTTCAATTAATATGCAATTTCTTTATTTTTCATATGATTATTTCATATAAACTATATGTCATTCATCTTGCGTGAACGACATATAATTATACACTACCAGTTTCATTTCTGCTCTGTTGCCAATCTAATTTGCTCAATACCATGTAAGGTCATATGGTCTTCTCAATTATTGTCATAAAAAGGAGGTTAAATTGGCAAGGTCGACTGTCATGATTAAAAAAACCTATCAAATAACCTCAGACATCGTAGACAAGCATTTACCACAAAACTGATTACGAGTGACGTAGCCTGAGGTTGCTAGCGTGAAATGCTCAACTGGTAGATGATTTGCAACCCGTTTCCAAAAATCGGAAGTACCAAGACTCATTGATGCTTTGACTTTAGTCTCAACGCCTTTTAATCCATCTTTTATTGTCGTGGACTTGGCGTTATCCAATTTCCATAGCCCTTCTCAATTACTAATTATATTTTTTGTATTGGTCGGGGTGGTAACATTTTTAACTTAAATTACCTGTCCACTTCTCTCGTCGTACATTTATTGTGATCATTATTTTCACTGCTGCTGCTAACAGAGCTACTGTCCTTTTTTCTCCATAAATAGTGAAGCCGATCATTATTTCCGTTACGTGATTAGTTGAGCTTTTCCTTTTCTTCCCCCCCCCCCATCTCGTTAGTGTATCTACATTCTGTTTTTCTTTTTTTTTATTTGTGTCATAGTCTTGTAGCACCTGGTTCTCACTTTTTTCTACTCTTTCTCCTATCTGGATAATCTTGTTTGTTACAAATTGGACAAGAAAATGTAGGTCCGCCTGAAGAGATTTTTTGTTTTGCATCGCAAAGCCCACCATAAAACCACGCGAAATAGCGGAAGAAAGTTAATCTTTCTATGAACTTCATTGAATATGTCTCACTTCTGTCTGTGAAGCGTTCCTCCAAATTACCATAGCAATACTGCCGAGGATTACTATTCACTAGTCGCACAATTTGAGTCATATGTTCAACCCTAGTGCTGTCATTGGGAGAATTCTTAGGTGCATCTGGATTAGGTGTCGCTCTTATTTCGCGTGCACACTAATCTGTCACGCCTAAACATTATATATATATATAATTAGTACTGTATATGATCCATCCTTTGCCAATTTCTCCTTTGTTTCATGATCTTCACTCCACTACATAGTGATTTCTCCATATTATAAGTATTAAGGGAGACAACTCCTTTCCGTTCTTCCTTAAAATTAAAGGAAACTCCTTAAGCCTATTAATCAGGTGACCCCCTCTCTCTCTCCCGCTCATATGAGAAACTTGAATTCTACCACTTCTCGTTGACATTTAGACGTACACATCAATAGATATGAATTAACAAACATCTGTCTCTGATTTGTCAAACGTGTACTTTGAATACCACCCCACCGGTGCAGAAAATTGATGGAGCTAATTGCAACGATATATTTTTTTAAAATTTACTTCACTCACATACGGTTTTCTGTTTGTTGATCAGTACCGGTCAGTGTGCTTGGTTATTCTGATCATTGGGCGCACACCAGTTGAAGTATGATCCTAGGCCCTTGTCATGGTAAAGATAAATATTAACTATTGATCTAAGTGCAGCGTTGTCTTACGTCTATCTCCCCCGATATTGTAGGATGATGGTGTGCAGATACTTTGTGCGGGCCTTCTCCAAGCCTACCACCTTCAACATCGCCGACTAGAAGTG